ACTACTAGCACTACGACGACGACTACGACTACGAACGCGACGACTACAGTACTGAGTGCTCTCACTCGTACCCTCACACGGACTCGTGCTCTGACTTTCTTACTCAGTAATCCACAACAACTACTACAACAAGAACAACTACTGCTGCTACTACTACTACTACTACCACCACTAAGGGGCGACTATTCTCAGTCGTACCCTCACACCGACTCTTGCTATTATTACTGCCACAACAACAACAACAACAACTACTACTCCTACTCCTACTCCTACCCCTACCCCTACTCCTACTCCTACTCCTACTCCTACTCCTACTCCTACTACTACTACTACTACTACTACTACTACTACTGCTACTCCTGCTACTACTACCACTATGACTACAACTACGACTACGAACGCGACTACTCTCACTCGTACCCTCACACTGTGACCCTTGCTCTTACTCTCTTACTCATTAGTCCACAACGACTGCTGCTGTTGCTGCCGCTGCTACTACGAATTGCTGCTGCTACGAACTGCTGCTGCTGCGACTACTACTACTACTTCCTCCTGCTACTACTACTACTACTACTACTACTACTACTAGCTCGACTACGACCACCACTGCCAGTGACACGTTCGCAACGTATTTCGGAACGCTCTTACTCCCAATCCTGAGCAGTGGGTGGAGGGGTTGATGAATCGAAACCTCACATTACTATGCACTATTCACTGCGACCTTTTGGCAGAGGTCGAAACCCAAATCTGCTCCGCCTGCTGCCCAGATTCCGGCTCTTCGCCCAGAATTTCACCAAGCGCCCCAAGCGCGCGACCCGATCGTCAAGGCTCGCATAGGCCTTAAGCAGCTTCGAGTTGTAGAGGGGCAGCAGGTTGTTGAAGGTGATGTCCTCTGTCACATTGCAGGGCCGAATGCAAAGGCTTCGAGAGCATGTTTGCAGACGAGGCTCGATGGCCACCCCTTCCTTGCTCGCGCACTTCAGTACTGGAACTCGTGCTTCTGTCACCATCTCCTTCACCTCCAGGCCCCACTCCTGGCAGCGCGGGCTCCCTCTTCCGACTTCCCTCTTTTTTCTGATGCAGACTTCCCTCTTTTTCTGATGCAAACTCTGGTTCTGATGACATCATCCAGCTGCGTGTAGCCTAACACCTAAGGCGTAATCAGCCGGTCTCGTTGCCGTAGTTTCTTCAGAGGGCCTATGGGCCTACGGCATAGCCGGGGCCGAAGCTGATGCCAGGCATGCAAGACTGATAGAACTGAGGCTCGGGCTCAAAGTCACTGCATGCGGTGATGTCACAAGCTGTAATTTATGTCAAGTGCTGCAAATGAGACTTAAATTTCGAGATCGACTGTACGTTCGTTCTGGTGTTCGACTCAAAAGAGGGTGCGCCTCTGTACATGCCTTCTGACCCCCTCTGGGACCTTGCATCATGTTCCGAAGGACACTGCTGAGAACGGAAGACGATCGATGAGCCAAGCCGAATCACATTACGCCAACAGGTCGTGCGCGGTCATGAGTGCCCAAGCTCTTTCCACAGCGCATGGTGGAGTGGTCCAGAACCACGGAGCGGAGAACAATCTCAGCATGTGCAACTCCTCAACAAGATGTCTTCGCAAGACAAGCTGGCCAGATGGAGATGGGCTTCAAGACAGCGTATACGGAAGACCGACGACGAACAGACAACTTTCAACCCTTTCAAGTCCAAAGAGGCAGCAGCAAGATGGAGGTGTGGAGTTGAGCAGCCAGAGCAAACTTCGTGGGGAGGTACTGACCCAGAGGCCGCAGAACGGATTGGCTGGATGTGATTGATGGGCCACTTGGGGATGTTATCTAAATGGTTGTCAAAAGTGAAGCAGGTGGTGAGACCCGCAAGACGACCTGGGCAAGGAGTGGACCGCATGAGCTTTTGGTTCTTCCAGAACCGAAAGAAGCTGCACTGGAGGACGAACACTTTGCAAGCGTCAATGCTCGGGTGGCAAGCAGGTTGCTTGCAGCTTGATCAAAGTTGTTCGTGAGCAAAGGATTGCTCGCCAGATGATGAAGACCAGCCTGGGCAGTCTTCACCGATTGCTCACAACCTGTCCTCCGAGACTGGGAAGACCTACCTTTTCATGAGTTTGACGGACCGTGGAAGCCCATCGGATCCCGAGAGAGTAGGCATGCTGCTCAGACAGAGGAAACTATAACCGGGAGGACGACCTCCGATGTGATTGGTGAAAGGCCTCGGCCTCAACAGCATTGCCGCACGCATGACGAAGAGAACTCAGGACCACAGCCAGCCAAGGGTTCAACCGGAAGAACGGTATCTACTGCAACCGAACTCAAGCTGGAGCGGAGGGAACCAGCAAAAGGGAAGAGATAATGTGTGCAAGTGGCGCCTTGTTGGCCACCAAAGCTTCTCCCATCATTCGGACAGCGACAGCGGCGCTCTCCTTCTGCAAGCGCCTGCCGGAAGTTCAAACGCTCGATTTAGTCTCAGGGCTTCCGCGAGCTTGCGCCTGGCCAATGCCATTCCCTTCAAAGGGGGTGCTGATGCCTTCAGTGCTGGCGACGAGGCAGGAGACCTCAGCCACATTGCCACGAGCTGACGCATCTGTCCCACGTTTCAGCAGCTTGGGCACGGGAGCCCATTTCTCTGCGATAGCCGCTCCATGTCCTCCTTGCTGAAGACGATCACTGCATCGATATCACTTAATCGAGTTTCGAAGCCGTTCACTGCGCTTCCGAAGTAGTCCTTGCACGAGGCACCACAGACACAGGACATCAAAGGACGGCCTGTGGTTACGTTACGATCTGCTTGCAGAAAAGTCTCACACTGCGCACCAGGAAAAAGGCTCTGCACCACTGCTTGGAGCATTTCCCTGAGCATTGACTCAGAATGCCTAATGCCCCAGTGTGGTCTTTCTGCTAAAAAATACAAAGCGGCTGCCTGGTTCGTGTCATCTTTGCTTCTGCCTCTGCATTTGGCTTCAGAGCCATCGCCAGCTCATTCAGCCAGTCCTCCTCGGAAAAAGAAAAACGAAAGTCCAGAATGCGATCAGCGAAAAGTCCAAGCGACTCCCGCATTCTCAAGTAAGTGTGGCTTTTGTAGCCCACTCACCGCGCCCTTCTGCCAGCCGACGCTCACCAAGGCAGCCTCGATGCGCACCTGGGAAGGCCAGAATGTCTGGGTGAACATGGGACATCTTGAGTCAGAAGGAAGATGACTGGGTGCAACCAGAGCTGTCTTTAAATGGACCCAGTCACCGAAGTGCAAGGTGGCAGCCTTTTCTTGAGCAGGATTCGTTCCAGAGCTGCGGTCGCGTCCTTGCGGATCCTCTTGTGCCGTGCAGCACAGAACAAGATGAATCCTGGCGGCTGCATGGCGAGTGATGCAACGGGTCCGATGAACTGAACAAGCAAGATCTTTTCCAGCACAGCTGCCACAAGGCAGAGAGGGAGACCGCTTTCAGCGAGACACAGAGAGCTTAAGATTGGCTTGTTGCGCCCTCGTTCCTTCGATGACCCTCAAGGCTGCCAGGCCGGGGTCTTGTCCCTCTGCGCTTGGAAGCCGATGCTGCATCTCAGAGATGCGTTTCAAGACTTCAACCACCTAAGTGACTCTTGCAACGTAAGTTAATGTGCGATCAATTCCCTCCACGGTCCCGACAGCTAAACTGTCCAAAGGCCCGAGCCAGCAGGCCGGCACCGATCGTGAACCAAGCCTCCAAACAAATAGCTTTCAGGCAGAGTTGTTGTCAACAGTTCGGTCAAGGGCTCTCTCGCTCTCGCTCTCGCTCTCCCTCGCCCTCTCCCTCTTCTCCCTCTCTCCCTCTCTCTCCGTCTCTCCGCGGGCTTTCGCAACTGGCTCAAACCCTGCCGAGAAGCTCGAAGCTGCCAAACAACCAGGCTCAGCTCGCAGATGAGTGCAGCCAGGCCGTACGACCTCTTCGACGGGTAAGTGACTATTTCTGAATCAAAGAGACGGCGTTCGACAAGCTTCGCAGGCTGATGCTTCTGATTAGCACTGTTGCAATAGAAATTTGTGCAGTTCATGTGTGAAACGAGCGTCCATTGCATACAGTAAACGTCCTCTCACCCTCAGGTCTTTGAAAGAAGTCGGGCCGCGTTCAAGCCTCGCCTTTGAGCGCTAACGACTTTTTATGTTCACTGCCGTTGCGTCGTCCACACCCGGAGAATTGTTTCACGTTGTGCAAGCTCCAGCGGTCAAGGGGCGCGCGAGCGCTTTTACGAAGTGTACTCGTGTACACATGCTGTAGCTTGAGTATGGTATACTGTATACATGTCCACGAACCGAGGTCTGGAGGGGTTAGGCATGCATTGGGCTTGCATTAACTTGAAATGCTTCACATGTTTGGCAAGAAGCAAGTAATGGCTGGGCGGTCGGCACTGAGGGGTCTGCAGTCTGGAAGGGCAAAGAAGGGTTGGGAAGTTACGTGTTGTTTGCCTACGAAGTCACTGCCAGGATGGCGGCGGCCGGGAAGGGCTGGGCAGTGCTCGCTGAGGGGTCTGGGGGGCAATGAGGGGTTGGGCATACATTAGAATACTGAAAGTATTGAAATACTTCACATGCTTGACAAAGAGCCAAATAAAGGCTGGCGGGCTGGCCAGTGGGCTTTGGTCCATGCATTGTGCAACAGTAGCTTGAACAGACCAATTACCAAGCTTCGTACAAGCTGTCAGCTGAGCCACTGTTCACACCCATGACTCGTGCGCAGACTCCACCACGGGGTGTATTATTGGTTCCACAGGGGCCACAGTCTTCTCCTTTCGAGGTTGCCTTGCGCTTTTCTTGCCAACACAATCAAGTGGTTGCTCTGTACTGGCATTCTACAAGTACCGAATTGGTCCAGTTGGCGTCTTTGTACGGACTTTTGTCAATATTCTGCAGCCATAACATCTGGACAAATCCATCAGACTTCGTCAGTAAGCTCTTTGGGAGAATCGTGCAAATATTTCGGATCGCCGTAGCGTATTTGCTCGGCTCACATAAGTACTATCTATCCCCACGATCCTTCTAATTCCTTCCAATTGAGACGCATTTTTTTCTTCTGCATCGATTGCATTAGATGATCAATTTCTAGGCCATATAGAAACCTGTTTCTGATGATGGCATCATAGTCATGTAATTTTCAGTGCGCTGGGCACTGCGCAGTCTTCCAAAAACTGGTTCGCTCATACTTTTCATGTCTTTATATCTATGGCTTGTGTAATTTGATGACCCAGATATGCGGCTTCGTTTACTCCTTTCAACCTGGCACCACCAGCAAATTTGACGACAGTGTGACCGTTCATGGCAACTTAACAGCATTTCCCCCTATTGAGGCGTAACCCGAATTGCGCAGTCACTGATCCTGTTGTGCAATATATTATTGGTAGCTCGTGTGTTGGCATTGATGAGTAAAGTATCGCCCAAACCTAGAATTCATCGTGCGCTGATTTAAACTACAGCTGAGGTCGTGGCCTATGACAGACATGATTAACACGAACAAGTAAGGAGAGAAAGGGCATCCTTGGCGAATGCCTGATCCTTTTTTAATCATGGATTTCCCGTACTCATCCTCAACAGAGAAGCGGTGATTATTGTAACAATCCATCATTACATCAATGAAATGCGGACTAGCCAGCAGTACTCATTACGAGCATTCGGTCGCATGAGTACACAGACCTGGCAAATATACGGCAAAGGAAGTCGGCTGGAGCATGGACGCTTCCTGCTTCCTTACTGTCTTCTGCTTCTTCGAGATACTCAACTTTGCCGGCCGGCAGTCAAAGGCAACGGAAAGGAGAGAGGCACAAACACCGGGTATCCGTGTGAACCCCTCTGAGCCCCAGGCCCATAGCGCTTCAAGGTGGTCCCCAGCTCGTGCAGCTTGAGTCTCATCTGGTCTCGGTCATCCCATGGATTCTCCCAGATCGGTCCTTGGTAGCCAAAAAAAATTACAAATCCCTGTTCGATGACACAGAGTCAAGGGAGACTTGCTTTCGGCCAGGCGGGCTACCACGTGAATGGTTGCCATCCGGAGGCACCTTGGCAACACCAAGAGTCGTCATGTTCGTGCGTCTGAAGGCTCTTCGAGCCGTGCAGCTCCATCGATCTGGACTTTCGCATTCTCGCAAAGGGCTTCCAGCAAACTGTTCACGAAGGCATGTTCGCTGCGTGCCTGCTCAGCTAGCTGGGTAGCCAAACTCAAACGATGCACACCGGCCTGCTGAGGGCGTTGTATGGGCCGCATTGTCAGGACAGGTTGAACTAACTCACTTCGCTAATTCTGACTGGGCTGCTGTGTGGTTTCTTCGTCTTGTCCGACTCAACACGATTATGTCATTCTGTGCTGCATGTCTGCTGGTCGCCTGGAAAACATGTGCTGTTGGTGTGTCATGTGTGTGTGTGTGTGCTGGAGCTTCTGTGGAATGCCTTACCTGCTTTTGCTAATGCCTTTCTTGACTAGTACCTAGTAGGCAAAGACTGCTGCCGGGCGGGCGATGCGACGACGCACTGGGACATGCAATGTCCTCATCGTTCATGGTCGGACATGCATCGGAACTTCCGCACTTATCTTGTAAACCCACACAGCCTGGTGCAGCCTCTGGGTAGTTGAGACTCTTGGCCGGGCCGGAAGGCGGTGACACGTCGGAGAAAACAGCCCAATTTAGGCTTGGCTTTCCACATACTCACGAGCCTTGGACCGCACTTGCTCCTGACCTTGGGGCATGTTCAGATTCAAGCGAAGTCGAGTCACGGACAGGTTGCAGCCAGCAGCTGTGCAGCATGCTAAGGCTACAGACTATTTACGTGCAGAGAAATCTACAGGTTCACTGTGCAGAAAAAAGTTCTACTGCCCGGCAGCACAAGGAGGGTGGGGAGCTGCTTGTCTTCCGCCCTTCAACACTGTTTGCAGGAAAGCCGTGAACGGAAGAGTTCTTGGGGCCTGCATGCAGACTCAACTACGCCCGCGTTTTCACATCGCAGGATAGAGTGTCGATATCATGTTCTGAGATTCCGTGAGTCTGCGAAGCTCGCGGGCATGCCGGTCCCGCTGGGCATGTCTCCCGAGTTCATGGCAGGTCCTTGCCATTAGGTAGTGGCACCGCCTCTGCCTAGTCTGGCACTCAGAATCACAGGCTAAGGAGAGACGCTCCAGAACCGCTTCAAAGACCGAGGACCGTTGTGACCGTGAGTCTCCAAGCCTTGAGCTGAGTTCCAGCAAACACTCGGCCTCCAACTCGGCGACCCTGGGTTTCGCATCCTCGACAATGTGGCTGGTGCTTTCCTCCGTGAGCTGCAGGGCCCCCAGGACGTCCCCAAGCTCGAGCTTCAGCTTTGCCAGCCGGAGCAATGCTTCGCCGTGGAAGAGGCGGAGCCGTGCAGCTTCTGCCAGCGACATGCAGCGGACACAGGATGCCACGGCTTGCACAGGATTGGTCTCTTCGCTAACTTGGGTTAGAGTCAGGAGGCTCTCACAGAGCTCCAAGGAAGAGGCTTTTCCATCCCCCTCCCAAGCCTCCCGTGCAGACTGATTCGTTGCCAGAAGATTGCCTGAGTGTAGCCGGCACTGATTGCTCAACTTCTGAAAGCGGAGCGAGCGGAGCTTGTCCGAGTTGGCCTCCGAGGTATTGGCATGGGCGCTTGCGGTTTGAAAGAGCAGCGCCGGAAGGGCTTCCGTGAGTCCTTTCTGCAGAAACCGCTCACCCATCTTTCTGCCAATCGCATGTACCCAGAGCCGCGAGCCCGACAGGTCCTGTCGGGACAGGGCTTGCATCGCATCCGTCCCTTTGTCTGTGTCTGCCTGACAAAAAGCCAATGCGTGATCATCAGCACCAAGCCGGTCTTTGTAGATGTCAAGCACCATTTGGCAAGATGATGCCGAGGAGCTCAGGCCGAACCTTTCTGAAACACCTGCCTGGCACAGGAGGACTTTTGGACGCAACAGCTCCAAAGTCCCTGCTTGAGTAGAGAGGACGGATGCCAGGCTGACATGCGCCAGCACTTCGCGCCCGGGCGTGGAAAGAGCAGCCAACACCCCAAAGCCACTACCCCGCGCACCAGATTTTCCTACAAAGGCCCAAGCCCGGGACAAAGAACCCAAGGGAGGGGCTTGGGCCCCGGCCCCGTTGAGCAGAGCAGGGCTCAGGCTTTCGCCCGGGCTCACGGGGACCTCCGTCGGTCTCGGTCTGGAGAGGCTCGGCTGCAGTGCCAGGATCCGTGCCAAGGCCAATGAACTCAGGCTTTCAAGCAAAGGAAGTCCCAAAGCCTCTGATCGGTGCAGGCATCGGCGAAGGAGTGCTGCCGCCATGCTGGGCTTGTTGGACAGGAGCAGGTTGCTCAGCAAATACATCCCAGCACAGAGACAGTTCGCGTCGGAGCTCTCCTGGGCAGCACGGATGCTGTCCTCCAAAGCTTGCAGAGCGTCGTCCACGTTTCGCATCTCGAGGCTCAGGTTGGCCAATCCCAAAACGGCATGCTGAATCTGACCGCTCGCCCTCTCTCTCTCTGACGATCGCTGGTCGTGGAAGCATCGCAGTAAGAAGGCAGCCGAGTCTGCAAACTTGCTTCGCACGCTGCTCATGTACTCTGAAACGGTCTGCTGTGACGTGGCGGTGGTTGCAGTTGCGGCGGAGGCGGCTGAGCCTGTCTCACGACTGTCGGCCTTGAACGACAGCTTGCTAGCCGACATCCCTTCACTGCGAAAGCTTTCTACTGCATCGTACAACTTGATGATCTCTTCGAAGCTTGACTGCTTGAAAGCTAAAACGAAGCGCCTCGCCAGCTGGCCGAAAGCTCCGCTGGAGTGCATCACGGAAGCAGATACGAGCTCTCGGCATATCATGGACTCCAGGTTGCGGAACAACTCAAACAAGGCATCTGGAGAAGTCAAAGTGTACAAACCAGCTATGAGCATCTGCCACACTTCCATTCTGTCCTTGCTTGCGCAGAGTTCCTGCTGCAAATCTGAAAGTGTTTTCAGGTTGTCCGGCGATACCTGTCTCACTTCATCTATGAGGACTTCCAAGACGACCATTGGCTCGCCTTGGTCCTCTGCGAACCGGAGGAGCAAGAGACTCACACCAACCTCATATGCACTCAACTTCGGCCGCATTGCATCGAGTCCCAGCCAGCCCGCCACCATGGTCAGGCGGGTGACTGTGAGAGAAAGCCCAAGGTCGAGAGTTTCTCACGCCTCCGCAGCCTCACGTCAACAGAACTGCGCACAAGGTAAGACGACCCATACAGTGGCGCAAAAGGCTTGCAGGCCTGTCAGCTGAGCAGCATGGCCCCATTCGATGGTGCTAAGCTGACACTATGCCACTATGCAACCTGTGAACTTTTCATGATGTTGCCGCATGCGGCTTGCGGTGAGCTGCTTTCTTCGTGGATTTCAGCCTGCCTGCATTCTTTGTATATCTTAATCTTTGCTTGGTTTATCACTCGTCTACCTTTCGGGGCCATTCTCCGAGCTAAAGCTGCAATTGATCGTGCGTCAGCAGCGCGAACAAGTAGCTGCAGAAGCCCAGTGCTCTGCAAAGTGACTAAGTGGTGGGCTTTCAGCATCGCCCCATCGAGTTTCGAAGTCCAACCATCGCTTGAAGAAGAATCGCATCTTCGTAGCTTTGAGCCTCGCAAGTCAAGACGGTGAGGTGTCTGGCAAAGCATGCTCAACGCGGGTTCTGTTCCCAATGCGGCTGAGAAGCGACATGGAACAACAGCGGCGAAACAATGCACGGATCTCATCTTGATCGGCTTCGGGAACTTTGGGTGGAGTAAAAGCTTTGATGTGGGCATCCTCACAGCGGTTGCCGGCTTGCATCTCGCAGCCCTGAAGACCCCGGCACTGCAAGAGCAGGTGCTGCTGGCAAAGGTCCAGGTACACGGACCACAGGTCTGTGCGCTTCGGATAGGTGTCCATAAGACCTCCAGGTCTGTCAGATTCTCAAAATCTTCTTGGTATCAGCTGCGCTCTTAGCAGCCATATCAGTCTTTCAGCGCTTGTGCCAGTCGCCTTCAAAGATGCTGCGGCCGCGGTCCGGTGAACCGGTCCTGACCGCAGGAACGGCCCCCTACCGAAGGACTGAACCGGAGACTTCGTGTCTGCATCAAAGCGGCTGGTATTCAAGCAAAGCAGTCTTGGAGACTACGAGAGGGTGCTTCCGCTTCTCCAAAGCAGCCAAACTCTTCGGAAGCACCTTGCGGGCTCCCTCCGCGTCCCCCTGCCTCGGGTCGTCAAGCCGCTGAAACGTCCAAAGCGAGGCTTCTGAACCATTTGGCAAATGTGCAGGCAAGAGTCTGATAGAGAAAAGTAAGGAAAGCAATCCAAACCTTCTTGGAATGAGCGAACTTGCGTGAGCATGCTTCGTATGCTTTCAGCGCCAGCTGTGGCTTTTTGTTGCGCTCGTGGATCCTTGCCAGCTGTAGGTAGACCTGCAAGACAAACAGCATTCGGGCTGATTGCAATTGCTAGAGGAGGGCCACCCGGTAAAGAGCTTCGTTCGAACAGCGCATGCACTTTCGCCCACAGAACCTCTGCATTTTGAGATTGAACCGTGCTCCAAACCCTCACCTGTCCTCGTACCGTGGTCTGTTCTTCTAAATTTCTGCCTCGGTCTCGGCAAAGAGTTTATGAGTTTCTCTGTTTTGTTGATGTTTTATGTTTTCCGCTGCAACACCAGCGCCACAACACTATAGGACGCTGACACTGTGGGATCATGTTTTCTTGATGGTGGGGCTTGGGGGAGAAAGACACGGTGCCAGTGGCAGGGTAGTCAGGGCCGCATGTACTGGCCATCGCAGGGTGCCGAAACCTTTAGCAATAAAACTAGGATACAATGACGACAAAAAGTAGTAGTGGTAACAGCAAAAAAAGCAAAAAGGCCAATCTTAATGGAAATAGTACTTGCAAAAGCAATAACAACAATTAGCAATCGTACCAACAATGAGCGCAATAGTACTGGTGATAGTTAATGCGGTAGTGGTGGTGGTGGTGGTGGTGGTGGTGGTGGTGGTGGTAGGGCAGCTCCGAAAAACGTCACGGCCGCCCTCCGCGAAGGGTTCAAGAGGGGTAATAATGCAGCCAAAGTGCCAGGTGAACACGGGAGACCGAGGGGCGGGAAGAAGTGGAGGAGGCATGGCAGAGAGGGGAGGGAAGAGAGAGCGGAGAGGGATGGGAGGGGAGAGAGGAAGGGAAGAGGGGAGAGAAGGGAGAGAGGCGAGAGAGCGGGAGAGGAGAGGGGAAAGACGGGAGAGGGGAGAAAGAGCGAGGAGAGTGCGAGAGGAAAGAAGAGACAGGGGGAGGGGAGAGGGCAGCGGAGAGAGCAGGGAGAGAGAGGGAGAGAGAGGAAAGAGGGGCGAGGGGAGCAGAGAGGGAGAGAGGGAGGGAAGGAAGAGGTGAGAGGGGGGATGGGACAAGTGGAGACAGAGAGCGGGGGAGAAGAGGGAGACAGGGGAGAGAAGAGAGAGGGAGGACAGGGGAGGGAGGAGAGAGAGGGGTAACCGAAACGCCGTTGCGGAACAGAGCACCGGAACGGAACGGAACGCCGGAACGGAACGGATCGTTGGACCGACGGGGCGGAACGCCGAAACGGAACAGAACGCAGGAACAGAACGGAACGCCGGAGCGGAATGGAGCACCGGAACGGAATGGAAGGCCGGAGTGGAGCGTCGGGACAGAACGGAACGAATCGTACCTGACGTAGCTCACTGTTTGTGTTCTATCTTGATGGTTATTATGTTTTGATGGGGATGGCGTAGCTGTTACAATGCTGTAATGGCTCGGAGTATTGAACACGTTAGACTATTTCTTTTGCAACTGCACACGTGCACTATGAGGAAGATTATCTATAGGTTCTATCTAGATGACCGTACGAGCTAGCCTTAGATTACAGGCCTGAGCCATCAACATGCAAAAAATGTTGATACGAAGAAGACGAAAAATCAAAAGCATAAGACTACTGCACAAACCGTCCCGCGGTCAGCAACTAAATATTTCGGCTCAGAATTTTTGTTTTATAATACATATGTAGACATGTACCTGTATACATATGTATAGCCAAGAAGCTGCGAGGCCCATAAGCCACGGCCAAGGCGCCAGGAAGCAGAATCCGCGAGGCAAACAACAACACAAACAGCCAAGCAGCCACAAGGCCAAGAAGCCAAAAGCAAGGAAGGAGCCAACAGCCGATCTCGCAAAAGCAAAGACGGCTCGAACTCGAACTCAAGACTTCAAAGGCCAGAAGCCAGGGCCCGACCGCGGAGCCGCGAAATCCTAAAGAGAAGTGTCCCACAAAATCCTGAAAAGTTCCGTCCTGCTTGGCTTCGTTGTGGCTTGCGGCCCGGCGGAAGACTTGGTCTGCGGAGGCGTCGGTTCCGAAGGTGCACTCCAGGTTCAAGAAAGCCACCCATACGTTCAACCGTTCCTTGCCATCTGCAAAGCCCACCTGAGATGCTTCACTATCCGCTTCAACGTCGGCAACAGCTTCAGTGGCCGAAGAAGCTGGGTGGCGAGCGTGCTTTACGGCTCGCTCTGCCACTTGCCGGGCTTTCTCCAGGTCGCTGGTCTTCAAGTGGAAGGCCATGTAACCTTGGCTGCCATGCTAGCACTCCGCTGACAACATAAAGCGAGAAAGCCTCAGCCTAGCAACGAATCCACAGGATCGAAGTATCTCCTTTGGTTAGAAGCAAGCGCTCGAAGTCCTCCACGCTTTCTGGATCTCGGCCAACGGCATTCTCATCCTCCTGCTGCCGCAGCTCTTTTTCCTCCTGCTTCTTCTTGGCTTTCTTTTGCCTTGACAGACTCACACCGCACAGCTTTCGCCACGTTGCAGGACCTCACATGCAGAGTGCTATCGATCCTCTTGGATAGCTTGCCGGTTTCGTTCTCCTCCGGATCGTCGGCAGCAGCATCAGACGAAGTGCCAGAGTCGACCTGCCGCTGCAAACAAGAGCCGAGCGCCGAGCCTTGGGACGTGCCCTCTGTCCTTGAACTCAGCGAAGTCGAAGGCGGCGGGATTGGACGCCGAGCTGCCCTTCGCTTTCCAAGGCTCCAGGTCGGGCTCCTCCGCCTGCCGGGAAAGCGCGGAAAATTCAGACGACATGTGAGAGCCGACACTCCAACAGACGGCTGCAGCCGCGCCTCCTCCTTGGCAACTCTCTGCTTCTTTTGCCTCGGCTTCGGTGCCTCCTCCTGGGCCTCCTCCTCGTCGAGGAAGTCTTTCCTCTTGCTCTTGGGAGGCTGCTTTGGAGACGCGGCCGAGGCACTGGCGAGAAGTTCCTCGAACTCGTCAACTGAGTCGTCCCCCTCCAGCTCTTGAGCTGTAAAGCTGGAGGCTTTCAAGGTCAAGCCGACTCTTCGTCCATCTATCTTTAGAATTTTTGCTTGGGAGATCTTGGTCCCGACAGGGTAAGACTCCACGCCGATGGATGCAGAGTCTGATATCTCAGACTTGTGCACGAAAGCATCTATGCTCGAGTTGTCGAGACGGATGAAGAGACCATACGCCTCGACAGCCTTGACCCGGCCGGAGACAATGTCTCCCGTCGTAAGCTGTCCCACAGTGAGCCCATTTTCTGTAGAAAGCAAAGACAGCTCCACCTTCTCGCTGTTTTGGTCGATCTCTGCTACCGCCATGTCGCGGAGGAGCATCCCCGCAGGATACATCTTGGAGATGGCCTCCTTCATGACAGGCACATCGCTGAGCGCCCTCAGCTTGATTCGACCAGTCAGGAGTCGGCTCAAAGCCACAAAAACACCACGTGGCCCAGAGCTCACCACGTATCCCGAAACCTTCTGGCCCACAGCGAGCTCGGAAACTGAAGTCGGCCGTTTTTCCTCTGCTGCCTCTTTGTGGCCCTGGACGAGAGACGGGCGCAAGCTCACGTCCAGTCGTTGACCCGGCGCAAAGTCGCTGCTGAGAATTGCAACCTCGTAAAAGGAGCCGAGGCTGAGCCTTTTGGCCGGATGCTGAGTCCAAACATCGAAGACTTCTGTGATGTGCACCGTGCCCCAGCATCTGTTTGGGAGCTCTAAATCTGCTGCAACACCCTTCTGACCAATCGGGTCATGGACCTTCTGGAGCCGGCCGAGAACAGGAGACTGCTTCAGCGGCAGCAAGGACAAATCGAGTGTCTTCTGGGAGCTGTTTGTCTGAAGCACCCGGCTTTGGAACACTTGGCCTGGGGTGAAATGCTGTGCCGGATATCGCAAAACTGACGGATCTGCTGAAGCGTCGAGCAAGCCGATACGCCCTTTCAAGCCGTCCGCGACCTCCACCATCAAGGCATTCTTCTGAACGGTCAAGATGGCAGCTGCGACAAGTGAACCAGGAATGAGCGACTGACGCCTTACAATCGCGGCTTCGTAATCTGTCGCATCTTTGGGTGCCATCAACGATGGCCGGCATGTCAATACCAGATGATAGAGCCCTTTCCGGGACTTGCCCTTTTCTTTTGATGACCTTGAGCGCTTGTGTATCTTCAACAGTCTTGTCCTCAAAATGCCCTTCTCAGGTATATCCTGCAGCGGAAGGGTTCCTCCGCTCCCCACATCATCCAGATCTACCAGTTGAGTGGCATGCACGTGGCCACGTAAACCTACCGGGGCCGTGCAGAACACCTGCAGCCCGTGAGTCGCGCGGATCCTCATCTTGAGCGGAGACCCAGCTTGGAGCTCCTTTTCAGGATCCTTGATCTGCGGCAGCTTGGCTTCTTTTCGCTCTTTACGTGGCTTTCCATCCTGGCATGCAGCGGATGCATCACTATCACTACTGTGGAAGGCGCATCTTTAAGAAAGCATTCGGCCTTCAATGCCGTCCCATCGCTGACAGCGGCTCGCTTGCTTCGTTTCTCGGCAGCTTGGCGTTTCAAGACTTCGCCAAACGTCAGCCCATCCTCGTCACCAGTCATCCGGTCCCCCGTGTCAGGATTACTACGGCTTGCAGGCTCTCTAGCCACGTTCATGTGTGAACTTGCCTGGAGAAGCTCCGATGCTGCTACACCGTCTTCCAGATTCAGCGAAAGGCCCACCCTGTCACGCTTCACATCCACCTCAGACCAAGAAAGATTGCGCAGGAGGGAGTGCACTCTGCAGTCTAAGAGTTCTGCAGCCATCTGCAGCCCAGTGTCAAAGGCCACACGACATTGAACGGCCATCCCCAACGCAGGAGCTTCTTCAGACTCCATGTCTTTGGTAGGGATCAAGCCTTCGTAAGCGAAACTAGGGCTATTGGAATCTGAGTCGCTCCCTCCCCGTCCCGGGTCAAGCGGAGAAGCGGGACGAGCAGTGCCTTTCTCCTCCTCCTTCTCATTCCTATAGCCTCCCCTTGTGTTGCCGAGAAGCCAAAGGCACCGCCGTAGAAACTGACGATGGCACCATAGTCGCGGATGGAACTGATGTATCCAGTCAAAAGCATCTGAGGTCTTGCCATACAGTTCTGCGTGAGCTGAAAATCGCTTTTCACCAACGATTTCTTGGCAGTCAATGTAAGCTGTCGACGGGTCGCATGCACGTGGAGGACCCGACACTTCACTTTGGATCCAACTTGCAAGCGCTTCGGAACGGCGGCCAAAGGCACGTCGGTGAGTTGTCTCAGGTGAACGTGCCCCGACACGTAGTCACTGATTTTGACGTGTATACCTGGGCTTCATCACACATCAAAACACCCAGGCAAGCCCTCAACTTCGCCTAAATTGCCGAGTTGCCGTGATCTGCCACTCGGGTCACGATTCCGGATAGAAGCTGACCGGGTGCAAGCTCTGACACGGATACGATTACATCTTTACCAAGATCTGAAGGTCTCCGCGTCAAGGTGACCACTCCATCCAAGAAGTTGTAGGAAAGTACTCGGTAAGTGCTCTTGTGCCCTACGGCCACAGAACTCGCTTTCACATCCTCCGTCGCATCTCCAAGCCGGGCTGCAGAGCAAAATCCAAAAAGCTCGCCTGTCTTTCCTTCACAGGACACCCGAAGGCCATACTTGGGCTGGAAGTCCTGCACTTCACACGTCAAAAACTCGCCAATAGCAGCTTGTTGGGTCAGTGTCTCGTGTTCCCAGTCAAGCAGATGTGGAAGTAGAGTCAAATGAATGGTTGGCGTCTCGCCGGGAATCACGGAAAGAATTCTCGCAACAACGCGCTGGTTCTTCTTCCAACCATCTTGCATTGAGGCATGGCTGGCATGGTGGCGGTGTATAGTGGCCGACAGCATGCCACAGAATGTAACTGTAAGTCCACCGTCCCCTCCTGATTCTCCGATCTGGATTTGTCGGACCCTGGCAGTGACGAGAGAGCCGGCTTTCAGCAAGGCCGCATCTATGGGATCGTCGCTTAAGGGCTCTTTGCATGCAAGCATGCACCGGACTGTGCCAGACGAAGTCACGGCCACAACGCCCACTAGGAGGATAGAACCCAAATGCGGCATCTTCTCGCCGGCGAGTTCCTTCTTCTTGAGAAGGCCGGTCAAGTCGCCTACGCCAAAGTCTAACTTGAGCACATGCTCCTCGTCTCCGGCGACAGCTGCCGGAAGCCACATGTTCCTGCGGAGGTGCTCTGCAGTCAAACCTGCATTGACCAACGCGGGGCGCAGAGATGCTTCGATCCTCAGCTTCTGCCCTCTCATCTCGCCTACCGTCAGAACCACGGCAACCACGAGCATCCCTGGCCGATACAGCTCCGCCAGACTCTTGCGGGAGACCTCTGGCGAGCCATCACTCGCCTCCGCCCGCTGCACGTACCTTGCATCTGTTTTTGGGCCTGCTGGTTTTTGAGGCTTTCCCGTCTTGGCCCTCTCAATTGGCTTCTCTCAGAAGGAAGCAGACCTCCCATCAAAACCAAGCCACGCGAGCAAGTTGTATGCGAGGCATAATGTCAAGTCCTACACGTGCCGATGCAATGAGAGCCTTGATCCTGCGAGAGTTAACAACGCCTCTTCGGTGATGTCTCGCACCGCTCCAATGATCAAAGAGCCTCGGGGATTGGGGGCCGGGCGAAACTCGAAGCGCAAAGCCTTCACATCACCGTCTTGAACGGCCTTCCACCAGGTCAGCGGTGCGCAAGCGGCTCACGCGACCTGAGCTCTGCGAGAAGGTGACGGCTTTGTGTTGAGGTCATCGAAATCATGAGCCTAACAGCTCGGTTGAAGACATCATGTGCACATAGTAACAGTGCCCGACTGGTTCTGAGCCTATGGCGCTGAACCTGCCAGGGCTCTGCGGGCTCTGGAGCGACCTCTTCGCCTTCCACTTTGCTTCTCTTTCCTTTCGGCCGAGCAGGCTTCCTGCGCTCTGTTCCTGTCTCTGGCTCTTGTGCAGCTCCTCGCTGGAACGCCTCAAAAGGCACTTCCCGATGCTCGCTGCGCTGCATTTCTACTTGCCCCGGTCCTCCTCTTCGTCAGCCTTGTGCTTCATCGCGGAACAACCACCGTCCTACTAATGGGAGATCTGAGATCTGTCATGATTGTCGATCGGTTCTGGCTCCGTTTCGTGCAAGACGCAATCACACGGTCTCAGAATGTCAACTCTGCGTTAACTTACCGGGCGAGTCTTCTGCAGTCATGCAGCTCGCTGACCACAAGCATTCGACGGATCGCATTGAAAGTCGCAGAGGCAATCTTCTGGCAGCTGTTGAACAGCTCAATGATACTCAATGCACTCTGAATAAGCAGAGCGCGCCCTTTTACACCTCTCCGCCCCTACCCAGCCCAGTCGGCCAACGCAGCTGACAGCCCACAGCGCCAATAATCCTCGCCGATTCGCGACTGCAACATTTTGCAACGAAGCAAATGCAGACTAGGTTGAGGGTGTGGCTGCGTAGCTTCTACGCGCATCTGATGTCTGCTTCATGCAGGGCCAGCATGTGCACAGCTTAGGGAGAACTCTACGACTGGACGGAGCACTTTCTGCTGCGGGTCCAAGACATCACTTCTCATCTTGGCCTGGCAGCGCAGCAACCGCGACAGTTCTGCACTCCAAACCATCTCGACAGACTCGCTTAAGACTGCAACCGCACTGCAACCGCCTGACCCGAGAGTCGAGAGCTGAACAAAGGTTTTGTGTTCGGGTACGCCTGGTGTTTCAGCATCGCGGTGCTGACTGCATCTCCTTGGGCAAACCCTGCCAGCTTGTCCAGCAGGTCACGTGCACTGCCTCACAGCAAAACGGTGGGAAAAGGAAGTCTTTGCATGATTATTGGTTCATAATGAGCGAGGCACTGAAGTGCAGGAGATGAGGACGGAGCCACCACTCCGTGTACTGAAGCCAATAATGCCGCTCCTCACGGAATTTGTAGAATCGTCGACCTGCGGACTGAAACTCCAATGGAGAGAAACGGACATCTTCGGAGGCAGCCTCTGGCATTCGAGCTTTGCTCAGGAGAGGCAGAGGATCGTCCGGCCAAATAAACTTGTGGATGAGTGGCTCACCCGGGATGAAGAGTGGGAGCCCCATCGCATAACAATCGGAGAGCCGCAAGGCGTTTGGGATATGCGGCAGCATTACAACCGCACGAAAGGCGGCCATTTCTTCGTAGCTCATGGCCTTGGTCATTGCGAGAATCCTTGGTCGTGGCGTCTTCCCAGCAGCTTGCCTCTCTGCTTCGATTAGCCGAAGCACTCGGTGGAAGGTCGCGCCTGCAGGGAGCAAGGAGCGAAAGAAGAGGAAGAGGAGCTCGTCGTGCACGGGGGCATATCGTGCTTTCACGTGCAAGGAAAGAAAAGGAACGTAGGGCACTCTGAAGCCAGCTTGCCAGTCGAGCATCTCTACTGTGATTCGCGACGTGGCTGTGATGACGGGGGGTCCGTGGACAGTGGGGCCCGGGCGGACTTGCCGGAGAATCTCCCAGAAGTTCTCCACCTGGTCGATCCCAAAGACCTGCTCGAAATCAACGAGGAGGCACATCACTCGACCGGCAGCGGAGGCCCGAGTAAAAATCCTCACGGACTTCATCAGAGCATGATGAAGTAGGACGCAAAGCCAAAGAGGCTCACTGCACACGATGGCCTCCGCTCTTCGAAGGAAAGGCTCGCGGCGAGCGTATTCCGTCAAGGCCCAAACTGCTTGATCGATGGTCCAGAGAGGCTGAGACTTCTTGTCCCTGCCTGCCGACTCTGTCAGTGGCTCGCCCCAAAAAGCCTCCCAGGTGATTCGCAGAGAGGAGCGGAGAGAGCTGCCGTCGGAGAGATCCGCCAGCTGCCACAAGTATGTGAAAAAATGGGCGGCTTCGACCTGAAGGGTCTCTTCCAATGCCGCCGAAAAGGCTTCCAGATGCTCCAAGTTGCTGGGCCCATGCTCTCCGACGAGTGCAACGTGAAGCTTTTCTAACTCTTTGGGTGCTCCCCACTGAATCCAAGAAACATGCTCTGGCCATTCGTCTTGCCAGCGCGGCTGGCGCACCGGCGGGTTATCTTGAGCAGCAACGAAATCAGCGTACCGCGGAAAATAACGCTCGTCTTCGATGTTCAGGTTTACAGCAAGGTCAAACGAAGAGTAGTTCCAATTCGAAGACTCGAGGTGGTCGAAGTGCGCGTCGAAGATGTTCACGAAGGCGTAGAGCATGCTCTCTAGATTCGTCTGTGCTGCTTCCACAGACAGCTCGGATCGTAATTTGTGAACCAGAAACACCACATACTGAACTAAGACGAAACCTGCAGGGCATCGCATAAAACCAACCAAGTTTCCAGCAGACCACTTCGGTGGTGATCCAAAAAGCCCTTGCCACTGGCTCTTCTGCATAGCGAGAACCCAATCACGCTTCTCTTGGATGCGTGTGAAGTAGCTCGATCCATCGGGACGCCATTCACCTGCCAACGGCACTACTATGCCATCCAATGCGCCGGCATCTTTGGCCGCGTCAAGCCCGTCGATAAACAGCTCCCACTGCTTCCATTTCATGTAAGCCATCGTGCCAGTGTCCGGGCTCAAGGGCCCAAACGTTTTGAAAACGTCCCTGAACATGGGCCAGAAATCGTCTGAATCTGCGCAGTCCAGGAAAGCAGCCGCCCGACTCGGATCTGAACCTTGCTCCTGAACCCACATTGCTGTTGGAGTTTCCAATGCGTTGACTCCCTGTTCCCTTCGCTCAAAGCGGGAACGTGGATTCTATCCAACTGGCGACCTATTTTAAACCCCGGCAAGCCTGCCTTCTTGACCCCCTACCCCCACCGCTTATTTTGAACACCTTATTGTATTTAATCAGCAAAGTTCCCGAACTTCCTTACATTTACTCCCCATCGCCAGGATTCCGTATTCCCTATACAGGGCCCTAATCCCTGCCCACATGTTTTGGATTTCGACTCACACACTCGCAAATGCAAAAAACTCAGCGTGCTATGGTTGTCTGGAGCAGTGACATGGTGTGGTGTAGTTTGGTTTAAACACTGCGTCTGGCCTCATGCATTAAACCACATTTTGTAAGTTTGACCCCATCATTCCATATCATTCCGTGCTGCATGCTTGTAGCCCATAATCTGCTGCAGTCTGCTCTATATACTGTTTTTTGCAAACACTATTTTATCGTGGTTTTGTACGTATGCACACTGACGGTGACAATGGCTTCGGCGACGACGACCAGAACTACGACGAAGATAGCTACCACGACCACGACGACTATCCACCACAACCGCGGCCACAGCTCCCGGAGGCACCACCGTAACCACCAGCAGCACAACCACCACGACTTTCTGTCACGCCATCATCTTCTCGGCTACACCTAAACAGTGCCATACGAAAATGCACAAAACATATGGGCATATTATGTTGTGTTGTGTCGTCTTGTTGCATGTTCCTTCGTGGGCTGTGGCATTCCACTACCAGTTGTATGTATTGAGTTTTGTAACATAAGATCGTCCTTTATGCTACCCAAAGGATGCTGCTTATGGTGAAGGACATGAGCAGTAGATTCGGATATGCTGAAGCGCCTTTGAATTCACGACATATGATGTTACAGTATACTCATATTGTATCTGTGTTTGTATGTTTAGACGTATGCATATGTGTATACAATTCTGCACATGACTACTCTTCTCTTCTGCTATGTTATGTTGTGCTGTGCTATATCAACCGGTATTCTGTTCCACACTGTTTCATGGTGTGGTGTTAACCTGCAAAAGCCCAGCCGGTTATGGCTGTCCCCATGTCATGTAGGTTTGATTCAGCCACTGCGCCTGGTCTCATGCATGTTTGGCTCCGGCATGGTCTCATGTATCGACCATAGAATGGTTACAACTGACGAGTGTTCACTTACTGCGATTTTTCTGTGCCTTGCAACTTGCGGCACCGAAACCTACAGCAAAAATTACCCCAAGGGGGCACGAGAGCATTGCCAGCCAACTGTGCGTTGCAAGTGGCAGCTTTCAGAGCTCATTTGGTCCATGAAGTGGCACCACATCGACATCTTATTGGACAATACAAATAGCACACTCTAGTCAGCAACAACTTCGGTTTGTGACCCATTCCTGCCCCAACGTCTGGGAAACCATTGACGGATATGGCGGCTAGTTCATGTGATCCGGTTTACACCGAGCACGATGAGATTGGTCCTTGATCGGCTTCTGGCTTTCGACGCTCAAGGCTTGGGCAATTTGGGGTTGCCGATCCGAGCCCGACCCTAAAACCCCTCATGCCCAGCCCAGGCACCCACTCTATAGTGACTCTAGTGCTGAAGATGAATGCATGGAGTGTTGGCTTTGCATCCATCTCCTGTGCAGAATTTGCCTGGCCGCTTTCCACAGCTTGTCGAGCCTCGGTCTCTGCCGTCGAACGCCATTCCTCCTGCCACTGTGCCAGTAGCTCAAGCGACCGTTGTGCCAGAAGCTCCGCATATGCCGCCCACGCTGCAGCCAGTAACAAGGACACGCGCATGTGAGACTGCTGGGACCCCCTTATATGATGTTGGCATGCTATTGGTCTTGCGTGTGCCCCACATCTAATCTTCGGGGAGTTTGGCTGAATCGTGTACTTACGGCATAGAACCTGGCTTGACTTGGATGGCATGGTGCTGAGTGCACGATAAGTTGACAGCAAGGACGCTCATGAATGCATGTTTATGTGGTAGGCACTTACTTGTGTGCTGAATGACATGAACGAGCATAAACACCGCAGCACATTGTTTCGCTCAGAGCTGTGAAGCCTTCTTGTTTTCGCACCTGCTCCACATCACCCTGTACAAGAGATGGTGGTGTGCCGACTGTGCGATTTAATAATTGCGCGGGTCAGGTTCAGTCAGATACCACCTTCCAGCGTTGAGCCATCCCGGAAAAAAGTTCGGCGGTTTGCCTTTGAGCTGCCATCCACCATGTCGGCTGTTTCTTCAACGAAAACTTGGTTCAACCGCCTACTCTGATACTACACAGTCTTATGCATTGTGATTGGCTCTTCGGCGAGCTCTGGTACCCGTCTGGTACAACAGCACGTGGACGATTTCGCTGCGGTTGTAAGCAACACACCCGCAGCAACCAGTTTCACTTCACCCTTGTGTGAAACTGTTGCTTGCATTGTTCGCATGGCATGCTGCGCAAATTATGCTGAAGTCTCTTAGAAGCAAAGGAAAGTCTGTGTCCTCCAAGCCTGCGACACGCATCTGACAGCTTCGGCATTGCATTCAAAACGTTCCCGTGGTGCCTAATTCTACGTGATCCTTTCGCATGGACGGCTTCGGCCCAATGTGCATCGAAGGATACTTCGCAGAGCTGCACCTTTGCTGAAGCTCCTTTGCCTCCTTTGTGTGGCCCACGCGGAACTCACCCCTCTGAGCTGTGCCTCCTCTAAGACGCTGCTCATCCTGACATGCATGTTTTCAGTGGGCTTTGCAGACTGCATTTTCAATGCCTGGCAGTACATCGTGTCATCACTGAAGTTGAAGCCACCAGGTGGTGGCAGCATGACTAAGATACTAGCCCGATGAAGTGGCTATCATTTGCGTGATGTTGGCCGGCTTTTCTGAGGGAATGGCCCCAACTGACCAATGTCCGTAAGGGGGGGGGGTTGTTCGCAAGCTTTGGTGCAATGCGAGCTGGATATGGAGCATAAGAGCACCATCAGAGTCAACAGGTTTTTCAATCTTCGAGAGCTCTAGCGCTCCAGCCCTGGACAGAGGCGCTTGGTTTAAACCAATGCGCCATCTTCGACAACAACGGGCCGAGCGCTTAACGCTTCGGCAGGCTGGCGTGAGTAAAGGGGGAGAGCCGGCCTCATCTAATTCATCAGCTTCGCTGAAGATTCTACGGGTGGTCTTCCACTGTCAAGAGTCCGTCTCGCACTCGCATTGCAAAATGCAGATATCTATGCGTCTATGCAAGAGGACTTTAAATATATATATATATATATACACACACACATACATTCCTGCTCCACTTCTACTTCGAGTTGCTGAGCCTGGATCAGACTCTTGCCTCATTCTTGCAGTTTGCACAAGGCTGCGATCCACTGCCCGCGGGTGTGTGCTGAATCAGCGCAATCAAACCTAGAAAAGGGCACATCTCTTCTGAAGCGAGGGCAGCACATTTGTCTGAGGAGGTGACTCAAACGTCCGCTGTGCATCGCTCATGTCCTGGCAAGAAAAGCGAAGGTGTCGAACGCCCGAGGCCGAGGCACCCTCGGCACCCTCGAGATCCCTCGCCTTGAGGGAGCCGTCCTTGCAGAAGCCGCTTTTCAAACAAAGGTCTGCAGCCGCTTTTTCGAGTCCCCCCCGCCCCCCCTCTACTGTCCTTCCAGGCACCATCGACCGCCTCCAGCATGAACAGCGTGGGGTTCTTTTCATCTGGTACAACTCGGGCACGGCTCAGAGCGAAGTCAATGAAGCCTGGCCGGCCGGGTGTCACCAATTAGTGCCGTGGGATGCCCGCAAGCCCCCTGCCTTTACACCCACTTGGGTCAGGATGCATCAAGTCTTCCGCGGTCTCCGGAACATCTCGGTCTCTCCTCACGACCAAATGGGCCATGATGCCATGGCGCTGGCTGCAAGCAAAGCGCGGCCTCCACCACACCAGCCGACGGCCATGGATCACGAAAAACCTCACTGCCAAGCCATGCCAAGCTGCAAGCTGTGGCCCAAAGCCACGGAGCAACCCGGCCTCCAGTCCCAGGCCTTCATCCGCAGAGTGGCCGGGCTTTTCTTGTAGAGGTAGCCACCTCGGAAGGTTCCGAAGCCCTGCAAATGCAGACTTGAGACTTGAGGTGCACCGAGTTATTGAGCTCTGAGCGAAAGTCGGCCTTTGCAGAAACCTGGAGGATTTGAACTCCTACCCTCGTTGTGCACCGGGATGCAGAGCTGGCTAGGACTTTAAGATGCCATGCCCTGAGGCTTTCACGCCGTGCGTGCCATCGACCATGCCCGGAAGGGCATCCAAGGGTTCAGCGAGAAAGGATTCGATGGTCTGGGTAGTCTTCGTTGGCTCGGAGCCGTCGTCGAGACTCTCGGAAACCTTCGTTTCCTCCTGGCACGTCCCTATTTCCTTCTCCGCTTTGCCCGTTTCCGAAGCAGGCTCGGCCTTCTCGGGCTCCGGAGCTTTGGGACTTGACTGTGTGTCGACATCCTTCTCTGCTTCCGTGTCCATCAAGGCTGTCGCCTCGGCCGCCTCCGCGAGCGCCGCCTCCGGAGCTTTGGGACTTGACTGTGCGTCGACATCCTTCTCTGCTTCCGTGTCCGTCACGGCTGTCGCCTCGGCCACCTCCGCGACCTCTTTGGCCTCGGGCTTGGTCTCGGGCTGTGCTGTCTCCGGCACAGCCTCCGAAACGGCGGGTGCCTTGGGAGGCCAACTAGCGTTGGCCTTTGCACTCACCTTCGGGTACGCCTTGGCACTCGGGCTCTGATGGCTCGGGCTGTCGCCGAGTGCCTCCGCCTCCGCCTCTTTGCGGCGCTTTTCCTCCAGGCGGCGCTTCCGGGCGGCGTCGTTGTTGCGGGTCAGCTGCTTGTCGATCTCGCCGCGGAAGTAGGCATCCGTCACAGGATAGCCGAGCTTGCACATCATGGGATTGGACTTCAGGGCGTGGAGAAAAGCCTCGGTGACCAGCCTCCCACTGGCCGTGTTGTTGCAACGCAACTCCTGCGAGAAAGGTGCATGATTCATCATGATCCCTTCAATGCAAACTTGGCGACGAAGCCGGCATTCGAGAATCTCCAAAACCCACCCATCAACCCAACACGGGAGCTCGAAACCCTATAGTTTCTGGTTCTATCTCGCGCAACCTGGGCATGAATTGGGCAGATCGGGAGGTTTGATGGCAATGTTCTTGTTTGCTCCTTATACGCAGAAAAGACTTTGCCGGGAGTTCTTGTGCTATAGAATAATGAATAGGAGCAACGGTGTCTCGTGGAGTCTATTCTATTGGTTAGTGAAGACGCGCGGCACGCAGGTCAGGTTCGCAGTGGTCCCGTGGTGCAGGTTTTCTGGAATACCGGTGATTTGCACGTGCATGGTCTTCGCCCCATCCCAGTGCCGCCTGTGCTCCTGCCACAACGCCATGCCTCCGCAGATCGTGCTCCCACTATACGTACAGTCACGCACAAGGAGTACTGGGATGCAGATTTATGGGGTGATCGTCTTTGGAGCTGATGCTGGCATGATATGACCTCCCGTCCTGCAAAGCTTGGTTGACACTGGTGCCCTTTGCGATGGACTCCAGGGTCAGGGGTTGGATGGCATTGGTGTCGATGTTCAAGACCTGGCTCCAGGAAGGGCCGCTTCCCGAAACATCACCCTGATACCCCATTTGCAAGGCTCAAGTTCACACACACACACACACACACACACATCGACCGTCACCTTCTAGGTTACGTCGCGCTCCAGCTCGGAAGCCAGACACTTGCAATAAGTGCGCAGACAACGCTTCCACCGAGTCGACACCCAAATCCCCGAAACATCTGAGGCAACTATGGGTGCCCACTCTGCGCTTCCCCGCCTTTAAAGAGCTGTTGGAGCGCAGTGACACTGCCAGGATGGCCGCTTCTGGGTCTTGCAAATTGCTGCAACCCAGGAGCCTCGGCGACCAAAACGGGGTTCCGACTTCCGGGGTAGTCTTATAGTAGCATCAGGAGGGAGGGTTACAGTAGGCACTGTTTCGAACAGTTCGGACTGGAAACAGGCATCAAGGTTTGCGGGCAGCTTCGCGGAAACCGGCGAGTGAGCGGGTTGGGAGCACGCTGAGTGGGTGTGGGCCAACAGCGTGATGCCAAATGTGCACGCAAACAAAAATACTGTGTCTGTGTGTGTATGTAAAATCACCTAAGTAGCCCCCGAGATCTGTTGACTTATATAAGTCCTCAATATGTCCAACATAAATTCGTATCAGTCATGTTGCGGTCATGGAGTTTTGTTGACTTGCTGGGTCTTGCGGCGTGGGTTTGAAAAAACCTTCCGGAGTTATTTGGACTTGTGCATTTTAAGTACATTTCCCCATTTGGTTGAAACGTTACATACTTAATACCAATCGCGATAGTTTTGGGCATAAGCAAACACGTGGAAATAGCTTTTGGCTTAAGCAACGTATAGTTTTCGTGCGACGTCGAAGATCCTTTGCCAGATCAAGGCGGCTCAAAGCTTCCTAAGGCACTGCCGAATTTTGAGCTGTTGCAAGAACAGCAGCGTCGTGAGTTGGAGTTGGAGACAATCATGTGTGGGAGCGCACGACTGAAAACTAGAAGCCAGCACAATGATGTGGGGACAACTGTACACAATTGTGTGGGCGGTAGGTCCGCCTACACCACAGCTACAGTGTGATTGTGCGACGTCACGACGCCCCCCGGTGGGAATCGAAATGAAATCAGGCGACAACTGCTCGATGTGCTTGTTGCCTTGGCTGAGGCAACGTGCAAACGGAACGCAGCCCAGGCCCACCCCCCCGCGTCTTCAACACGTCCCTCCGCAGTCACTCCGCTCCGCATCCTCTCCTCGCCAAAGCGCTCTCCATGGCGACGGCCAGCTTTGGAGAAATCAGCGCTTCCACATTCCCTTCCGGCATCTTCAGGTTCGTGAAGTCCTGACTGAGCCGAGAAGGCGACGTGCTTGCGATCTGGCGATGGGTGTGTAATGATTTCAATGACGCCCAAGGCTCGAATTTGACCAAGGTCGCGTCGTCCAGATGTGCCCTGTGCACCATCCATATCATCCAGTTACCGATTTTGGATGACTTGCAGGCCATTGCCTCGGTTCCATCCACGAGGCGCCGCGACTCCAAGAAACCTCCCGACCTCTTTCTCCAGGTCATGGAGTTCCGTGGCTTCGGTGCACGCCAACACCCGCCTTAGCTCCAAAGCCAGCCGAGCTCTGAGTTCTAAGTGCCTTTCGATCTGCAGCCAAGTGACTTCACAAAATCCTGTCAGGCTAACAAGATCGTGTGCACCGGCCACGCGTAATTATCGCTTCTGTTCCGCTCCTCGTCAATATACTGGGCCCATTGGTCCGCAGCTGTCGAGACCTGGGCAAGCGAAGGCCGCCCCGCAGCCCATTTGTGGCAGTCACAGGCCTTTGCCGGGGAGGGCGCGACGGGTGCGACCTGGAACGCATGGGGCGACGCCATTCGAAGAAGCATGATATGATATCCTCCCCGCGGCCTCGGCCTGCTGACTTTGGGCCTCCGCCGCCTGGGCGGCCTGGGCCATGGCGAGGGCGGCCTCGCGGTCGAGGCCTCAGAGAGACGCGGGGGGGGCCCAGGCCCAGTGCTGGTGGTGCCCAGCGCCAGTTCGCAGAGGCGAGCACTGCTGCGTCGACGCCCCAAGTTGGCCTTGCACGACTCGCGAGTATCAAACTCGACAGCAGGACGACGCGAGCCACGCCCGCCTTCTGCTCATCGCAAGCTTTCTTCAAGCACCATCCAAGGCCCATGTCCTCCAGGACCTTTTCGATGGTAGCCTCAGTTTCAAAACGAACGAACTCATCGATCTCCCAACATAGCACTAGAAGAGCCGAGAATCGCAAGCCTCGGTGCAAGTTCGGACCTGGGCCCAGGCGGCATCATTTCATTGGCATCATCCTTTCATATCCTTCCCGCCCCTTTGGCTATTTTTTTCAAGCGAAATGACTTCTATTAAATCCCAAAACAGGAGACATCAACCAGGAGCCGGCTGTCGTCTCCACCGTTGTGATTTGGACAAGAAGGCACACGGTGCCGTGATGGACATGCTATTTTGTGGCTTTCTAGCTTTCCTGTCCAACGAGGTCAGGCAAGCGCTGACAAGTGATCTGAAGGATCTGCCTCCCTCCATCTCCCTCCTGCCCTCCGCTGAGACTGGCCGAGCCGAGACATGACAGAGCTTCGCTTGATTGATGTCATGGCCCCAGTGTTGCTCAGAGCTGTTGCATCGAAACGGCCTTCTGCAATGACTGTCACTGAAATCTTGACTGCTGAGGCTGGTGCACGCTGATCATTGCAGTTCATGTCCGACAGAACCACACCATCCAGAACCTCACACAAAACATCTAAACCAACAATGTTGCGATTCAGCCTGGGATGCTTGCAACCAAAGCTGAACTCAGAATCAGACCGTGCGTATCCGTGCAATTCTGGAACAGTCGCCGCCAAATACATCCTGGCCCAAACGGGAAAAGCTCGACTCCATGACCACGCACGACTGGACCAAGCCATAGCAGCACCACATGCCGTGCAAACAAAAAGTTGCTAAAAAGCCAAGATGCTGCCAACTGCTGGCCTCGAGCCCAAGCTAAACAAACTCACATGGAGGCTTGCTGGAACTGCAGATTCGTCTAGGGTGCGATTGTCACTGGTTTTCGTCACCATCATGGTCATGAAGTCGCGTGCATCCTCCAGTGTCCTAGGCTTTCGTTGAGGTATGTCAATAACATTTTATCATCCAGGCTTTACCCACCGAGCTGCTTCAAGTAGTCCAGCTCGGCCATCGGCCTCAGATAGGGCAGGGTGTAGCTCAAAGAAACCTGAAGGAGAAAGGAGGTGCTCCTGAGGCGAGAGCAGCTTCACTTTACTGCTGCAATAGAGCTCCACCTTCTCTGCCGCAATCTCCATGCGGCCTCAGCACTCACAGAGCGGTGTTTGCCCCTTGCAAAACGGAGCTTTTCAGCTCGTTTGGGCGAAGTGCTGAGCACTCCATCGATTTTGGCCTCCATCTCGACTGAGAGAGGCTACTCTGACTTCCCTCCCTGACTCTGCACAGGCCTGCTTGAGCCTACGCAAGCATGGAACAGTTTCACCAAGGCCGCACTCGGATTCGGAGTCACCGACGGGAGACAAAACGTCGACGGCCGGCGCGAAATGCCCGCCTTCCCGCCTTTTCCTCAATTCCTTCACACTACTGAGAACCCGTACCCTAAATTGATAGCAACCCCTAAACAGGAAACTGTTTGCGGAGCTGGTATATAGGCAAAAATCCCTACACCAAACTGTTTGGGGACTGAGGAAAGGGAATTCTGTGTCGCATGAAAGAGGATGTGAGTGTGGCAGTGCATGATGTTTAGCTGTACGAATTGTATGCTGCGAATGACGTAGAGGGAAGGCTACGAGCGGCTACGTGACAAGGCCCGTGGGCCAAATGTTTCATGCAAAGCCCAACTCGAAAACAAGAAGCACTTTTACCAAAGGACCGGAGATCGCAAGCTGAGCAGATATCGAACGATATGTTTGCAGAAAGCTATGCTCCGTCTGTTGTGCGTAACAAATATAAATTTGCAAAGAGTTCAAACAACTATGGATGCACCCACGGCATCTTCTGCAGTAAATCCTGAACTTCAGGGTATGAGTGCGCAATTTTTGTTTCGCACCTTTTTGTATCTGCTGAGTCGGCTGGGAACCTTAAAACGGTGCCACCTACTCCGACCCTGCAGCGTCGGCGTGGTCCAACACGAGCTCGAACGGTGGAGCGTCTGCCACTGCACGAGACTCGCCGGCGGCCGCCGACAGGGCGGTGGCACACTGAACGGCGACCGACAACTCCAAGCGGTGGCCACGGCATCGACGGAGAGCGGGTGAGGCGGGCAGCCTGCACAGGCGAACGAGGTCGCGAAGAAGAGCCAAGGCTCCCGTGCCCCAGCCGAGTACGACGAGGCGTTGGGGGCCGGTTCGCCACGGGCTCACTGAGCGACCTTGCGGCTGCGCCGTCGCGTCGCACGGGAGACAAGGGGACGCCATACAGGACCATGTCGAGTCGCGGTCACCTAACGCCACGCCAAGTGTGCTGCTGAACGACCGCCGCTAGCAGAGATCTTCACGACCTTTGCCACAGCTACACTCCATGCATCCATAAGGCTACCTTGAGGCTCAGGTCTGTTAAAGAAAGAAGAGAAAGCCCCGGCCTAGGGTGTGGCTGAACGGTTCCCCGGCTCAGTCAGGCGAAAGGAAGACAGAGCCGCCCCCCGGCACATGCAGGCGAAAGAAGACAACCCCGGCACCACGGGGTGCGGCTGCACCGGCCCCCGGCTCAGTCGGGCGAAAGGCGGATAGAAAAGTGAGCGCGAGTGCGTGGGAAGTGGAAGCAGACAACACGCCAAAACGGCAAGCTACGCGCTTACGGCTCAAAAAGAGGCCCGCGGCCCTCCTCGCCGGCTTCGGGCAGGCGGCGGAGAACCGCCTGGGCGTTTTCTCGCTGCAGCGTCACGCCGAGCGATTGGAGGAGCTGCTCTGTGCCCTCGCTGGCTGTCAGGCCAAGCCGGGCGGCGTAAAGGCCGCCAAGCTGTCGCTAGGTCTTGACCGCGGTGGGACCCCAGCCCCCCCAGTGGCTTCGGCAACGAGGGAAACGAACTGCAAGCCACGGCAAAGGGTCTCTGTGTCCTGGAAGCTGCGCGTGCGGTCTTCGTAGTTGGCAGCAACCTTCCGCGCATGAAGGGCGGACGAAGCCACAGAGCCGCTCCGCGGATGCCCCAAGCAGGAAGGTACAGTACACATCCGCTGGGCGCCTCGATAGGCTTCGCGTGCCACGCGGACATGCTCCACGACGTTGGCCCGGCGCGCGAGCGTCGGCGCAGCGCGATTTGCATGGCCTCCGTTGATAGGACGTGGGCTTCATCCGAGCTTAAGGCTCATGCTGCAGCAGGCGAGGGACCCTTCAAGTTGCGCGACACGCCGCGCATCGGCGCAGCAGATGCCCAGTACACTGCAGACTGGCGTTCCAACCCCAATGCATCGCGGGGATACCGGCTATTTGCCAAGCCGCACGCGCATCGGGCTCCGTGGATGGACTCCTCAAGGGCATCTGGGCTACCCCGACGAGCCAGATCTTCGAATGTGTCCAAAAGCCGTTGTCTGGCGATGTACTACGTGCTTCTGGTGATTACAACAAAGAACTGGCCGAGGTTGCTCAAGGCAAGCTACAGCACAACTACAGGTTAATTGAGTGTAAAGTTCTGCATAGATCTAAAAATTAGGGTGCAGGGGTCGCGGAGTTGAGGTTGAGTGGTTTGGGAGTTGTGGGTTGTTTAGGGGGTGAAGGGTTTTGGGCGATGGGGGTTGAGGGGTTCAGCGCTTTTTTTTCTGTTTCTCACACCTTTTACGACTGCGCAAAATTTAAAAGTCCGGGTCCCCGTGCAACTGCACAAACTCCAGACCCAGGCGGCTCGGGGTGGGGGAGGGACTGCGTCGTGCAGAATTTCCCGAGAGCGCGGTGCAGCAACGTAGGGCGTGCAAGCAGCGTTGCAGCAAGGGTGCTTTGCAAAGCAACACTCAGCAGGGACCACCAGCGGCGCAGCCAGCCCTGAGTAGCGGCGCCGCGCATGGCGGCAGGAGCGCGCTGGGCTCGGAGCCGTATACGAGCTGGGAGACAAAGCCTAGCGATGCGGCGCTGAGCCGCTGGGGTCCAGGTCACAGCAGCTCGGGGTACGCTGCACACGTGCGCCCAGCGATCACGGCACCGTCGCGCGACGCAGCAGAAGGCTGCGGGCGCCCATCCCGTGATAGCGGGGACACGAGCGTGACGTGGCAGCACAAGGCCTCGCCGACTGGGGTAGCCCCGTACGCAACGGTCGAGGCGGCGGCGATCAGTAGGATCGACGTCGGGGGCCGATGTGCGTCGACCTGGCCCTCGGGTCCGACAGCTTCGCGAACAACGCGCACCCAGGCGTGCTCGAGGGGCTTGGCTCTGCGGGCGAGCAGACCGGTATACGGGGACAGCTGGCGGGTTGTGCAACCGTTGCGAGGAGGTGAACTGCGCTGGATCTTTGACCGAGTTGTTGGAGCGTCGATCCACTTGGAGCTGCAGCGGCTGTCGCTATCCTCCCGGATGCGCCCTCCGCCGCATCGCGCGCAGCCGACAGGCCTGCCGCGACTTTTTGGCTCACGAGGGGGCCGCCGCTGGGTGGGGTCGAGGATAGAACCAATCCCTGGCTTTACGTCCCCTTATATTGCACGCAGCAGCGACGGATCTGGCGCCCTCCGCGCTCCAAGCCGGGCGGACCCTCGAGCAGCCGACTGGTGGGAGCAGGCTCGCCAGCTCCTTGCGGCGTCAGCGCCAGTAGCCCCGCAGACTCTCGTCGATGCCCTCGCCCGTGCCGCCGTAAACGCCCCAGCACATGCACACCATGTGCCGCCCGATCTCGTTGCGCGCTCTCGTGCATGCGGGTTGGGCGGTGCGCCAGTTGCGTGAGCCGGACGGCTACCTCCTTTAGCAGCTCCTTTAGCCGGTGCAAGAAGTTCTCCTCGAATGCTACGGCGGCCATGCGCTTGCATCGGCTCTCGACCGTCGGCTGCGGCTGCACGGGCAGCCCCCAGCAAGGCATCCCATCTCCCAGCGAGGAAGTCGCGCGTGCGCTGCAAAAGAACGGGCTTCGCATCCAACCGTGCCCGGCTCGCGAGCGCGGTGGAGCAGCAACCGCGGGATGAGCAGGTGCGCTTCCCGAAGAGCTCGCATGGCGAGGACGAAAGCTTGTCGCACGTCAGCTCGCAAAAAGGCGGGTGCATTTTGGATGGTAGGCACAGGCGTGCCGAATTCGGCAGCGAGGTCAACAGCATCGAGGCTGGACCACGCAGGAGCCGGGATCCCAGCGAGGGCTGAGTTGCCTGCGCTGCCCTGCGAAGCTCCGGCGCGGGAGCCTCGTTGTCGGCTGGAAATTGGGCGCTTCGTCGAAGCAGTCGTCAGCAGCTGGGGCACCTAGCGCGCCCGTCAATGAGACCCGTGGTCGCACAAGGTGCCTCCTCCTGGTGTCGTGGCGTCAGGCACGGCATGTGGAGCGGACGCCTCTTTTTTTAGCACTTATTTTCCGCCTGCAGGCCTCAGGCGTCCGAGACTACTCCGCGCTAGACTACACGCCGCACAAAGGCAGCCGGCTCAGCCCCGCGGCTTCGGCGAGGTCGAGGATCCGGTCGAGCTCCGGTCCCTGGCTTTGTGTCGCGTGGGGCGGTGCAGGCCAGGCCGACCCAAGCGCCGTGCATGTCACCGCTTGCTGCACGGAGACCGAGAGCACAGCCCACCAGCTCCGCGCCCAGGCCGCGGCGCGCACGACGGGCGGCGAGCGCTGAGCGCGGACGCGAACAAGGTCGCGAACCAGCTGCTGTGCTCCAGCGTTCCACCGTCCCCCGACTTCGGACCCCAGAACGAGGAGCTTTGGCGGCCCTCCAGCACTCAGCTCGGGGTACGCAATGTGCTTGCGCCGCTCAGCGACCCGCAAGGAAGCTCCGGCATGCGCCGCTGCGCACGGTTGAGGGAGGCCCGTGCGTGTCAGTGTGGCGAAGCGAGGGTCGCATCGCAACACAGGGCCCCGCCGAGCGGCGTCGCGCCGTAGATCACGAGATCCAGGCGGCGGCGATCGTTTGCAGGGACGCCCGGTGCAGTGGTGTGCGCGAGCCATTGCTGGGGGACCACCTGCCCCTCGGGGCCGACTGCCTCCCGGGCCACGCGCACCCATGCTCGTTCTAGGATTTTCGCCCTGCGGGCCGCGCGGACATGCCAATGCATGGTCGCCGTAGGCATCCACGTCTGCTCCGCAGCCGGGCGGGCCACAGCAGTTGCGGCAGGCCAGGGGAGACGCAAACGGCGGCGCAGGGCCAGCTGCATGTCTTGGGGCCGTAGAGTGGTGGCGGGCTCGCTTGGTATGACGGGCAGCCATGCTCCTGCTTGCGGACCAGCTTGTGATCGGAGGAGGGCGCAGGCGGCCGGCGGCAGGGAAGGCAGCAAAATGCGTTC